TTTGCATTGGTTTGGTGTGTTTTCTGGTCCTTTGAATGCTAATCCCTTCTAGATGCCTATTTCCAATCAGCATAAAGAATGTGCATACAATGTGTGTATACAGAATATAGGTAGTCTCTTTTATCATGCAAGTTGATGGCCTTTACCTTTTTATGTTTAACCAGATTCCAATTTGTATTTTTTGTCCACACATCATATGCTTTATTCTTTCTTTCATATGCTGTACATTGTTTTTTTCTCACATTTTGCTGTATGGAGCATGCATATATAATTGTTTTCTCAAAGGAATTGTAAAATACAAACCTTGGTTTTAATTCAATTGTAGTTTAATTTTAGTTTAAATAACTTCATCCTTTCATTCCTTAATTATCAGTCTTATGGAGAATTAGCCTCTATGAATTCACTTCAATTCAGAAAAGAAAATAAGAAAATTCCTTGTTTTCCCATTTTATGTCTAATGACATAGATTGGGAGCCGCTGAATACTATGTTTCTCCTTTTAAAGTCTACTCTTTTCTTTCAAATTAAATTATGGCACTTCATAGTGATTTTTAACTATATTTTAAGTTTATTTTAAGTTAGATATATATTTAAACAATTTTGGGTTTTGCTTCCAAACTTTTTATTCTCGTGCTCATTTGAGTTTTAAAAAAATTGTTGGTTTCTTATGACATTTGAGTTCATCTTTGGGTTACATTCTTCAGGATAGTTATGTGGAGTGTATACTTTATGAACACTAGCATATCTAAAAATTCTTTCTATTATCTTCACACATTAATAACAGTTTGTCCAAGAATTTGAGGGTTACTGAATTTCCTCTTGAAAGTCTGTATGAATTTCTCCAGCGTCTTTCAGCCTCTGACATTGAAGAAGAGCCATCTTGGCCATGCTCAGTCCTTGCTTTCTTTTTACTGGATAGTTTTCTTGGTACAACAAGCTTTCTTACCTTCTATGTGAACTTTACAATGTAACTTTGACTATAGAAGTTTAGCATAGCTATCACTTGAGTCCTGATAATTTATTATAAAAACCAAGGGAAATCTATTTAGAGAGCATTCTTCCCAAAGTATAAAATAGCACTGTGATGGAAATTGTGGTATGAGTTAGGGAGGAAAGTCTTCTGTGTGTTGTTGTGATAGTATTATAGTTACCCTTTGTTGGCCCAGGTGTGCATCTGCAGGTTCTCTGTGTGGCGATTTGCCACACTGGGTTGAAAATAATTGAAAATTGACCCATGATTTCCCCAGATGCATAGCTTCAGCTGCAGTCAAAGTGCTGAAAATAAAATCACAATGAAATTTCATATTTTTTTTTCTTTTAGAAAAATGTTAGTGCTATTTCTAAATACAATATGCATGTTACACTATTTTGTCAAGGTTGTCCTTCATATTAAAACTTATGTTCCTAGGCTTCATATGTTGTAGAATAACATTTGATTATTGTTCAAGCAGGTTTATTGATTGGACTAAAAATATTATGTGCCAAGTACATCACTAGGCTAGTAAATGGAGAATACATATATGAAACATAAGTAAAATTTACTATCATGTATTTATAGAAATAAAAAGGATATAATTAGTATGGTCCAAATGTATTATACACTATTGGAATTAATAATATTTGAAATAAAAGATTCTCTTCTATGATTTCAGCCACATCCTCACACACAGAATATTGTTTTTAAAAAACAGAAAGAGAACTGATTTTTTCTATACACTGTGACTTTTTCTTCCAACTTCCAGAATTCCCTTGAGTCTAATTCCTGTGCTGACCTTGGTTTCAGGGAGACATAGTGGAACCAGTTCTTGATAAGTCTGCATGTTTGTGTGCTGAATGTCTCCAAGTTGCCCTCTCCAAGACCTGCCTGGGAGAAAATGACATGCAGGGGGGTGGGGAGTTTGGGGAGCAGTGTCACAATCTATGCCCAGCTGGTCTGGATTATCTAACCTCTGAGGTGTATCCGCTGCTGCCCCTGCATCCCATTATAAATCATCTCTCTGTTGAGCATCAGGCCAGACTAGGGTCTGATTCATTGGCTGAGTGCCGCTACCTGGCTGCAGGAGAAGCCTGGGTCTCCGTCCTGTAATAGTCATCATGCTTTAAGGAACCTTCACATTTTTGAACAGTTACATAGTGTCCCCCGTTAAAGAAAGAAAGAGGAAGTCTGGAGTCCGTTTCCGGCAGCTAGCAGAGAGCTGTTTTCCTCCCTTTGACATTAGCAAGGTTTGTCAGCTTGTTAATCTTTAAGGGGATTTGGGGTTGAAATTTGGGGAGGGTGCAGTTGGGGGTGAACAGTCGAGTTAAACCTCTTCAATATAGTTTAAGGGAATAACATAGATGCCCCCTGTTTTTTTGTCTTTTTTTTTTTTTTTTTTTTTTTTTTTTTTTTTTTTTTATGGCTGTGATTCTCACTTGGCCTTGAGTTTCAACTCCCAAGTTGATGTGAAAGGAAAACCACCACGAACTATTGGATAGTGTAAGCGCTCTAATAATAGTCTCTACCTTTCTGGTTGATGACTTTGCAAGTCTGCTTCCATCATTCCGAGGTAGCAGAAGCAATCAATAACTGCGATATAAATTACATGTGGATTGAGCATTTAAACACGACAGGGTCTGGGTCTCCACAAGGCCAGTGTTAACCAACAAGGTTGCCCGGGACACACACTCTCCTCCTTTTTCAGCATTTTTCTGCCACATGCCCAAAAGCCAATTAAAAAGCAGAATTAGGGACTAGCTGGACTCCCCTCCCTTCATGGAAATCTTTGTTTAAAGAGAGACTCCCCAAGCTTGCAGAAATCCCATTTGACTGAGAGATAAAACAGAGGAGAGGAGAAAGTTATCCCACAGAAACCTGCCTCTACCGTCATACTTACCAATTATTCTCTGACAAATTATGTATACACACACACACACATACACACGAGCGCACACGCACACACTTGCCTTAGACAGACTGGTTGGGACGTGCTGCATCTGGCAAACATCACACGAGGCTTCCGTAGGGCCTAAACAATGACACGATTGTTTGTACTATTAAATGGTGGAGTTGGGGTCAGAATGACAACGGCCTCTATGGAGATTGTGTTCGAGCGCCTTAAGGTAGAGAGGACTCTTGCAGGAAGCCAGTTCTATAAATTGTTTCTGGAGAAATGCTGTGCATAGAACATCATGCACTTTCTATGAGCCTGATATTTAAACCTTCCTCCAGGAAGTATTGTGGGTGCTGGGGAAGTTCATGGGTGTTCTCATAAAAAGGTAGAGGGGGAAAGGAGTAAGCAATCTTGCTGATTGGTGTGTAGACTAGAGCCACTCTGCTTCTAGCGCTCTAAACGTTGGCTTTCTACCTAAGAGTTAATATGAAGAAACAGTTCCACTGCTCTCTGCTGTCATGCATAACTCTGAAGAACCAATTAAAAACATGGAATAAGGGGATTTAAAAATCAGATCCATGAAGCAACATGCTTTTCAGGTTCTGATCTCATGCCACTCAAGACAACATCAAAAAAAAAAAAAAAAACCACACGGCATGCATGAATTTCTGTCAATCTGCTAGGAAAATGTTTCTATGGGGTTTGAAACACATTAGTCTGTTATTATATGGGATAGTATAATTTTTAAGTAAATTTAAAAGCATAAGGAATAATTAGGATTTGAACTTTGTAAGTCTCATTAATTCTAGAAAGCTGGTAAACTTCTGAATGGTCTATCATGCACATAAAAAGTACCCTCAAGTTAATCGTAAAAACTTTAACGATAAAGGGGCTCAGTGGTAGAGTGCTTGCCTAGCACATGTGAGGCACTAGGTTCGATCCTCAGCACCACATAAAAATAATTAAATAAAATAAAGATATTGTGTCCATCTACAACTAAAAAAAAAGAAAATTAAATTAACAATAAAAAAATACCCATGCTCCTGCCCAGGGAAATTACCAACTCTTAATAAAGTCTACTCTAAGGGATAATCCAAAACACTTACAATAGGCATCCACGACAGCATGCTCCCAAAGGATCAGAGTTGGTGAGATAGACTTGAAAACAATTACACAGACCTTTTCTGAAGCATGTTTTTAAAACAAAGTGCAAAAAGTATCAGAAAACATTCTCTTAGTATTTTTTCTTTCGGGATTGCAGAACTTATGGAGAAACAGAGATATAGCAGAATACACAGTACACTTAAAATCATAACTAGTTTAGGGTCTTAATTCTGACACTTATTATCTATGTTTTGGAATAAGTTATCCAGCATTTTTACATATAAATGTATTCACCATTAAGATAGAAAATAAATGATATCTGGACAGCCTGTTTTCTCTGTTAAGTGGAAAAAAGGCAAAACTGATTACAGCTGAGTCTTTCCAACTAAGCCTGTATTTAAGCTTTTATTTTTATTTAAATTTTCACTGTACAAATTGTTAATAGAATTGACTTTGCAGCTATGAGACATTGAAAATGCAGTTGGTTATCCTTTTAATATCCGTAAGAGCTGGGTGGTCCAGGACAATGAAAGAATGCAGGCTTCCATCAAATTCAAAGGTGTTTAGAAGTAGACAGAAGATATACCTACATAACTTAGGATCTAGGGAAATAGAAAAATCTAACGAGGCAATCAACCTAAGTTCAAGTTGCAGATGTTTACGAGTAGAAAAAAGAATTAGGTAATGTGTGAGACACACGTGAATCCAGAGTTCTTAGACCATGTGAAAACCTCTTTTGAGTTATAGAGTCTTTGAAGTAACAATTATCAAGAGGTTTAATGTATCACATCAAAGTTGCTGATAAGAATTCCATCAGCATCCTAGCTGAAATATATATATTTTTTTATTTTGTAACCCCAAACATGCTGAGGAAGCGACACCGGCACCATACATGAAATAATAGAATAGTGTCCTTAATTGGCAGAAAGAATTGTGCAGAATGCATGCCACTCTGTACTCACATCCATCAGAAACCTTGTGTGGAAATTCATGGCACTTACTCAAAAAGGTAAATGTCTTCCTTAAAAGCAAGCCTCTCATAAAAAACCGAGAAGAATTAGAATTCAACATTTGCATGTGGAGGGAAAAAAACCAACAGTTTTAATATTTCATACTTACAAACTTGTTGTGTTTAAAAAAATTGTCCTGGGGCTGGGGTTGTGGCTCAGAGGTAGAGCGCTTGCCTACCATGCATGAGACACTGGGTTCGATCCTCAGCACCACATAAAAATAAAATAAAGATATTGTGTCCACCTATAACTAAAAACTAAATATTTAAAGAAATTGTCCTGCTAGAGTATCTACTCAATAACTGAAAATTAAATGTACAATTAAATATTTAATTTAAACTTATGATTTTAATTTAAAATCTTAATTGATGAACCCTGCTGGAACATTTAAAAGAACTCAAAAATTCATTATACTCATAATTTTGTTTATTAGATTTACCAGAAAGTGTTAAGTTACTTAAAACACTGAAGAAGGAAATCAAACATCAACTTTACATATTCAGTCTAATATATTCAAAGGGATTTTAATTATGTCAGTTTATAATTGGGAACAAGTATTAATCAAAAAAGAGTTTTAAGAGTGAATGTGAAAAATTGCTAGGAGCATAAAGGCAATAATACAATTCATAAGTGGAATTTAAAAGCATAAGAAAGAACTAGGGTTTCAATTTTGTACCAGAACTAATATTAATTTTGGAAACCAGATAAATCTCTGAATGACTTCTTATGCACACAGAAACTACCCTCGGGCTAATTAAAAAAAAAACATAAATTACTAGCAATAACTCAAGAACATTACTTTGTAAATTCAATGAGCCCGACTTGACAGGGCGTAGGCCGACATCTACCTTATTCTTTTTACAGTTTTCCATTCAGCTTGTTCTGTGAAACAGATCCTTATCCTCTCCTTGTTCTAATCTCACATGGTTTCATTGCTTTTACTGTGACTAGCTAAAGTAGAAAACCCAGTCCTGTCTTAATAAACACATAACACCAATCCACAGTAATTTCCAAAATGTTAATTCCATTCAAGTTTGAAACTTGTGCTGTGGTCTGAATGTATACAGTGCTGGAAACTTAATTTTACAGTAACACACCATTGGGAGTCCAACCTGGGGGTGGGGTTGTTTATATCATGAGGACATCAATCTCATGAGTGAGTCAATGGTTAATGCCATTATTGATGGAAGGACTCCCTACCCCCAACCCACTCCCTTGTTTTTATCCTTCAATCTTGTGCCAAGTAAGTGCACTGAGTTCTATCCCCTCTGGAAGAGGCATTGTTTCGAGCACCATCCAAGGAAAACACGCATTGCTGATTCTGTCATCAAAAGAAATTCAATCCACTCCCAATGGTGCGTCTCTGTTCTCTTTGGTTGGTTCCATTTTCTCAGGTCTGCATCACACACTAGACTCTATCTCCAGTGTCAGGGAACACAGATCAAAGTCTTCCAAAGCTTTTGTTTCTCTTAAGGTGCAGGGTGCCTTAAGGTGTCTTAAGGTGCCTCTCCCTCTATAATGAAAAGGAGGAGGAGGAAGAGGAATAAGGACCAAGGTCTTCCATAATTCTCTGAAAAGCAACTCCTCTACTGCTCTCTTTCACACCCTCAAGGTAGATAAAAAGCAGCTCCTCTACTGCTCTCTTTCACACCCTCAAGATAGACTAATGTTGTCAGAACTAACTTTGCAATCATTTTGAGGACCCTGCACCCTGATTTTTTAGAGTGAGGATGCTTAAGATTTCTTATATTTTTCTTAGCTTTTGTGATCTAAGCATAGGAACCTTACTATAAAATTCTGCTATATAATCATTAGGAACAAATGCTTTGTCCTGATAACTCACAATTGAAAGACTAGAATATGACTTAAGTATCTTTAGAAATTTTTCGTCAAACTGAGCAATGTGTACTGTTATGGGTCCATTGGCATCTTTTCTGAGATATGTATAAATATGATATTTTTTTAAAGACAGGAGAGGCACAGGATTCTATCACAAGTTGTGCATAAATACTTTTATGAGAAATTCAGAAAACATAAAAGAGAAGGCAAACAAAATTATAAACCTTATTGGTAACATCCAGAGAAATCACTGGTTAACATTTTGATGTATTTGTGAAAAACATTTCCCAACAAATTGGGATGATATTGTTTGTCCTGTGTGTTTTTTTTTAGTAACATACTATCTAATTTGAATGTTATTTTTACAAAATTATATCTATAAACTTATTAGATACTTATAAAATTCAATTTTGCACATAATAAAAATCAGACTATACAAATGGCAATGGTGGTATTTTTAATGCCCAATATTTACATTTGATGAATCATGAGAGTTATTCATTTGCCCAATAATTGCTTGACTTACATTTTGGACACTATTCATTATTTATGGGAAATGAAGACTTCATTTCCTATATAACTCTCATAGTTCCTTTCTTCTCTCACTTCCCAATGATTATTAAGAGTTTCCCATTGATTACATTTATAATTCAAAATACGTTTATGCCTCTAGGTATTCATCAAATTTAGACATTATCTTCCCATTCCCTACTATTTAATGAGTGACTATTACCCTCTTCATTCTTTCTTCTGCCTTTTTCCTCTGACTCCCACTAGCCATATCAGTACTTTTAAATTGTGAATATTTTACAGTATTGGTATTCTATTGCAGAACACTAGTCCATGATTTATCCATAAGTTGACTCTAAGCATCATAAAACACAAATGTTATTTGTTTATATATATATATATCAAACATTTTAATATGTAAGTATGTCTAATTATATATTTGCAGAGATAGCATATAACATTTGAGAATCTTGCTGGGGTACTTACTAGCTTTGCGTTCTTGAACATGTCGTTTAATATATTTATTCCCTCCTTTATCTCTAGGAAAATATCTATTCCCTAGAGTTATAAGGATTGTGTAATTAACCCAAGGCACATTGTAGACACATTAAATGTTACTTCTCTGCTTAGCCTAGTCTTGTGTATTATATTTCTTCATTACTACTTAAATAAGATGAGCTCTGCAGCACACAAAGTAGAATATTTCTTGAATTAAGGTTAAATGCATTCCTTTTTCCTATGCTTTAGCAGTGGCTTTTTTTTAATGCCATTTTTAATTTTTGTTTCATATTCTCAACCACAGGTTTCCTGTATAGTTTCCCACTCACCTTGGCAGAAGCTTTTAAATGCTTTCATTTAAAATTTTTTTTTTCAGAAACCTAATGTGCCCCCCACTACATCCTCAAAAATATTTCAGCCTTTCCATTATGTCGTCTGCTACTGTATGGAATCCACTTTCTTCCTGGGGACATCCATCAGCCCTTGTGACCTCTTGCTACAATTCAGACCAGATGCTTCCTGGGCTCTGTGGACACCTCTGGATTCTATCACTGTTTCCTGCATTCCACGACTTCCTCTCTTTGATCTCTCTCTATTTTTGCTGGTGTAAATCCTCAAATAACTTCCTCAGAATGGTACATGAAAGTCAAATTTTCTTAATCTTTGCATTCCTGGAAAACCTTATTGTTTGCCATTATGCAATAGTAATCAAACTCCTAGCCATATTTTTTGAATGGACAAGTTCATTCCAAAATCTCCATAGGAAACCCAACAGCTCTAGAATAATCACAACTTCGAAAAACATACAAACTTGAAGACTTAATTCCTCTAATTCAGGACTTGCTTTAAAGCTGTAGTAGTGAAGAAAATGTTATATCAGTGTGAAGGTAAGTACTCAATTCCTGTAGTATGTTCCAATGTTCCAAATCCCAAGAACTCTAACATACTATATGTTTCCATTTGGGGGTCACAGTCAACTGCTGTTTGGTCATATCCACAGACCTGTATCTCCAGTAATAAAGGTGCTCCACAACTTAAGATGGTGTAACATTCTGAAAAATCCAGTATGGATTGAAAATATTATAGGTTCCAAATGCATTTAATTCACCTAGCCAACCAAGTACAGTAGCTTAGTAACACTGAGGAACACCGATTGCTTCCCTGGTTATTGAATGGCTCACTCTGAATTATACTTGCTGCCCATGCCCAGCATCACCAGAGGGTATTGTAATGGATACAGATCCAAGAGAAGATGCAAATTTAAAATTTGAAATACAGTTTCTACTGAATAGGTGTTCCTTGGGCACTATCATGAAGTCAAAAAATTGCAAAGTCCAGTTGTAAATCAGGGGTAATCTGTATTTGTGTCTAATTCTTAGAAGCTCCATTAATAGCATGGAGCCAATCTCCATAGAGGGAGCATCTTGCATCTAGGATGCTAATATTATTATTGCGCACCTTGAACTTGTCTAGACCTATTCATCACCATGGTGGCTATGTTAATTCAGACCATCACTCCCCATCTAGGTGTTGATACCAGCCTCCCCTTGGCATCCTTGCTTGAAGTCCTAGAGCCTCCCATCTATTCTGCTCAATGCTTGCCTGAAATACAACTGTGGAAGATTCATTCCCTGTGTCCTTGCCAACATGCACAAATACTGACCCCAGATTCCTAATCTTTCCTTAATATTACCTCCAGGAAACTCTTTCCTCTATTCTCTTTCTGTAGTCCAGCTATTCTAATGTGTTTTGCTCTCTTGCATTCAGCTTTTTCTGTGCCTAGAATATGCTTTCTTTCCTAACTCTCTCTTTTCTATCTTTGGATCTTCTTTTAGGTTTTATTTTCTCTCACAAAACATCCTTGACCCTCTCAAGGGTGGGACTGAATGCCCCTCTATGTGCATCTACAGTCCTAACTTACCCTTTTCCAATAACTCCTTCAGTTTGCATTGGGAATAACCTTCAAAGGCCCATGTGTTAAAGCTTGGATTCCAAGGTGACACTGTTGGTAGGTGTGGAACGTTTATTAGGTGGGACATAGTGAGAGAAATTTAGGTCATGTAGGAATGTGCTCTCCAAGGGACCCTGGTCCCTTGTTTTGTCCCACCACATGCTCCCCAACATGATGTACTGCTACCTCACCCAGCTCAAAACAATGGGGACAGCCAATCATGGAGTGAAACCCTCTAAAATTATGAGCCCAAATCAATCTTTTATCTATATAAGTTAATTATCTGAAGTGTTTGTTATAGTAATAGAAAGCTGATTATCCAAATTATAACCCCATCAAAATGTAAGCTCTTTGAGGCTAGGTCCAATGGCCATCATGCCAGCTGGTTTTTATGGTTTGCAATAAATGATCACTCATCAAAATACTAAAAGAAAAATGTGTGTAAGGGATAATTCTCTTAAATCAGCCTTCATCCTCCTTCTCAGGCTGTTATTGGGGAGTATCTGGCATTATTTGAAAGCAGTTCCATTACTGTAGGGCTGGTTTCCATTACTCTTTCATGAGGGCTAAAAAAGGAAAGCAGACTGTTGGCTGACTTTTCTAAACATGCTATTAGCAACGATCTTTCCTTAATGATTGCCACCTCCTTGCCATTTGGAACCAAGAGAGGGCAAGTCTCACTTCTACAGCCTTACAAACTTAGCATGAGCCATTTGCTGCTCAAGCCTCAGGGAAGAGAATGTGCCACTGTTTTGGAGGATGGTGGCTGTTTGCCACTAGAGAGCCTGCAGACTCCAGTGTACCTGAGCAAGCCTCCGTGTGTGATTACGTTGGCTGTTTGTGTTAGAAGAAGATGGTAAAACCAGGACACCTCTTGATGCATTTGTAACTGATATTCACAGTGGAAAAAGGATTTGGGAGTCCAATAGCATATTGGCTCTTTTTGGGGAACATTTATAAGAATTCTCGCTCCTTCCCAAGCCACATTAGCATTAGCATTCCTGCTGAATGGGCTTTTTTTTTTTTTTTTTTAAGAGCTCCTCGTGAACATGCATAGAATCAACAGCCAAAAAAAATGCATTTTGGAGATGGCTGTACACCAGGATAAATACAGGCTGATTTTATTCAAAGACGTTAACGTTGTTGTGCGGTTTCTTTTCTTCTTTCCAATTTATGTAGGTATAAGGACTGAGATTTCTTTTATCCAACATTCCAGACGTTATGAGCATGAATGAGTTCAGGAATCTTGAATGTAAGTCCCTGGGGAAGCCATGAACTTATGAAAACCATGTTTTCCTCACTGATATCCTTTTGGAGTCCTTTATGGGCATGGTCCCTAAGTCTGTGACACATTCTTGTGGAAAAGGGTTGAAGGGTGGATCACTATGATGGATACTTCTTTTTTAAGCTAAAAAATAAAAAATGAAAAGAAAAACAAAGGAGTGAAGGAGTCCATATGAGAGAAAGCTATAAAATCAGGAGGTACTTTGGTGTTTGGGCATGACTTCCCTTTCCTACAGAATTTGGAGATTTGCTCTTGCACTTGAAGTTGGCTGAAAGTGAATTTGTTCATTTAAAGTGGCCAGTAGAAATGTATTCGATGTCAATGTTTACTATGACAGCAAACTTCCAAAGTCTTCATGAAAATATATTTATGTGTATGAATTTATATATTTATGCATATATACATACACATAAACAAGGATTGTCATTAAGTGTCTTTTCATTAATGAGCAGCTTCAATACTTCTGGAAAAACTCATGGGCACCAAGCGTCATCTCTGTTTCTTAATGGCCAGGGCATAAAATGAGCTTCAGCCATGAATTTTGTATTCATTCATGTAGATTTGAATGCAAGCAAAGGCCACACACCTCCCACCCTG